TGCATGGTTAGGTAGATACTGCCATGTACAACTGATTCCTCTGCGGTACATACAGCATGCACTACCGCGGATCACTTGAGAGGTACCGATGTTGCTATAGCTACGCATGGCTAGCTCTAAGGATCGAATACTTAGTGTTGGTATAACGCTAGACTATACTCTTAAAGAACACGACGTAATCTTCGAATAAAGTATAATCTCTGGGAGAGCTGGTTTTATTTGCGAGTTCGAGGCTGTGTACTGGACTGAGTATATATACAATACACACGCAGCAGTAGCACATGACTGAGCATAAACAATACAGCATATATTTTAGTTCGCCAGCTTCATAGATAGCGTTCAACCGTGTATATGCACACACACCATACCACCGTTTACTATACCACCCTGCTTGCAGGTGCTTCTCCTTGTACTTTCGCACCGGCCAATGCATAGATGAACACGCGCACATCCATGGATATAAATATCTCGTAGATTTGTATAGCCCTTTCTCCACAAGCAAGCCCTCCATAACCCCCGCCACTCAATTCTAAATGGCCCCCTCTCATTCCGTTTACTAATGCCAATACATCTCTAGCCATCCCCATTCCATTCCGTTTACTAGGACCAATACAATTCTAGCCATCCCCCTATCATTCCGTTTACTAATACCAATACATCTCTAGCCATCCCCATACCATTCCGTTTACTAGGACCAATACATTTCTAGCCATCCACATACCATTCCGTTTACTAGGACCACATCTCTAGTCATCCACATACCATTCCGTTTACTAGGACTAATACATCTCTAGCCATCCCCATACACTCAGCTACACGGCATCACGCAGACTTCCTATCAATAGACCCACAAACAGGTGCTATAGTACTCGCAGACACAATGCCCAAGCGTCGAGTCTGCACTCACTGTTACTGAGGCACCTCTCCAAAGATATCCGCGCGCCGGTGTTCTATAACCGGCATCTTGGCCCTCACACGGCTCAGCACGTCCGTATCAATTAGCCCATAGATGACCCCTTCTTCATCAGCATTTGGCCCCCCCATGCTCGCGACTATCTCTCCCCAGGGATTGACGATCAGGGCGTGTCCGTATGACTTGCGCTTGGGATGGTGATAGCCGCATTGGGCTGCGGCGACTACATACGTTTGGTTCTCTATGGCCCGCGCACGCAGCAGGACTTCCCAGTGTGCCTGTCCACGCAGGAAGGCAAAAGACTTTAAAAAATGGGGCCATTGTATAGCTGTAAATATGACTGTACCAATATATACTATAGGTGTAAATATGGCTGTACCAATATTATACTATAGCCGTAAATATGGCTGCACCAATATATACTATAGGTGTAAATATGGCTGTACCAACATATACTATAGGTGTAATTAGACCAATATATACATACATATGTATACGAATCAATACAAAATCACGCATCACGTATGCCGAACAAGCGTACAGGCGCAAACGTACCTTGCCCGTCCCCTCGGCAAACGCTGACGGATACGTGATGACATCCGCATTCATGTGTCGTAGTCTGAGCGCAAGCTCGGGAAATCGAACATCGTAACAGATCGCCAATCCTATATTCCCGGCAGGGGTGGACTGTAAATAGGGAACGGACGATGTGAATTTGAATTAGGGTTAAGGAAATGGGATATAAATACAGATGTCCGGTCCTAAAATACCGGGAGGGGTAGACTATGAATAGGGAACGGACGGTGTGAATTTGAATTAGTGTTAGAGAAATCGGACACAAATACAGATTGTCTGGTCCTAAAATCCCGGCATCGGTTATTAGGATTAGATATATGAGAGGGCAAATATGGCATATCCCGACTACAGTTCGGTACTTTAGAAAACCTTCTGAGTTTGTATCGTCACTTCTAGACATATCCGGCTTCAGCATACCGATAAAGCGTATGCGATAAACTATGAACGTATAAAATCACCCATGTAGATATACACATAACATACCAATAAATATATATATTTAATTTATATATAGGTACCAGTGTCAGTTCGGCGGTTTGATACGATAAGTTTGATATTGTCAGAAGTTGCATCCGCGGAAGGGGTTCAGCACACTGCACACCGTTTGACTACATTCGATTGCACCGACACCGAACTTAAAGTGTACAAACACACACGCATCCGTTCATATACACAAACACGCATACCTTTCATGTACACAAATACGCATACATATACAAATGAAACAGCCTACCGTAGGCCGTTAAGTGTACATACACACACGCATCCTTTCATATACACAAACACGCATACCTTTCATGTACACAAACACGCATACATGTACACATGAAACAGCCTACCGTAGGCCGTTAAGTGTACATACACACACGCATCCTTTCATATACACAAACACGCATACATGTACACATGAGACAGCCTACCGTAGACCGCTTAAGTGTACATACACACACGCATCCTTTCATATACACATACACGCATACATATACACATGAGACAGCCTACCGTAGGCCGTACAACAGAGTTCCCGGCCACACATTGCTCACTCTCTCGAAACTGAAAGCCATCCACATCCACATCGAACAGATGCATCTTGCGATATGTACTCGCCACATCCCCAGAGCTATCTAATAACACGTGTGTGTTTGCCACCCTTGCCGGATTGTCTGTCTGAAATGGAAACATTAGATGGGTCAGTACACACACATAGACATATATGGGACTAGAACGATCCCACTCAAACAT